GACAATGAGCTCGCGGGAGAGTTCGAAACGTCGGACAAATACACTCCTGGTCACATGACTACTGCACACACTCGGTGCAAGTTGTTTACAGAGGACGTAATCCTGGGGATTAAGAGTCACACGATAGTATGCAGAGGAGACTTACCGAAAGAGAGGAAATGATATTCCAACTGGTGAGCAGTAAGTTTAATACGTCTATTCGATTGAGGCGGGCAGCCTCGTGGAAGGGTGATGAGTACTTGCGAATGAGAGGAAGGAGACAAGCTGCGGACAATGGGGCCAGGTCTGAAGCACTAAAAGCCGGCTAAGTATGTTAATTTCAGTGACGGCAAGATTTACATATATATCCTTCGCGAAGGCCAAGCAGCGATCCGTCAGGTTTTTGGCGTTGTTTTCGTAAGCACTTCCAAAGACTTTGACGAAGTTCTCCTTGCAAATTCTTGGTATAATTAACGTCTCTATCCTAAATAAAAGGCAAATTGAAACAGGGGGGAGGTCCTTGCCTGTCAGTAAGTAGAGGAAGATGGAAACTTTTAGCCAAGCTAAGCAACTGGAGAAGGAAATCGTCGGAGGCCTCCGTGGCACGCTCGCAGTCGCCAGTGTAGAGCCACTTTACAAAGGTCCTAGCCACATCCTCTGGAACATCTAAACGCGCATTAACATTATTGCAAAAATTTACGCGAAATGTCTATAAATTTGGAATCAGCTGTTTCTGACCATTGCGCTCCCCGCGCTTTCAAGATGAAACGATGAGCCTTTATCGGGTTAGTCTTTGTCTTGAACTCCACATCGCTGTACTGCTGGTTATCAAACAGACTGGCAACAAAATGCAGAAGGTTTTTGGAAAAGTTTGACGCAGAATCAGAGCTTTGGCACGACAGTCTGTCCAGTTCATTTCTGACATTTGCATACTTCGTGGCTAGAGATGAAAACTCCGAGGTCAAGAAGTCAATTCTGGCACGCAAGGTAGCAACGTCAACGTAGTTGGCTTTTTCTGTGACCGCCGATTCCATTATTTTGTCGGTCGTCACCAATCGACGCTATTTAAGTGGAGTTTCTAAATTATATGAAGAAGGGAATAAAAGGTGTAAAAATATCTCTCTCTCAGTGCAAGTATCTTAATATACTTATTAGCAAAGCAGACGGTAAGCCGGTTAGAAGAACGTTCCCCACAACCCATCATGAGACAACAAGTATGGCTTATGTGACTACACAGTACGGAGAGGGGACGAATTTAGCATTCAGTTCTTTCTACACATTTATATTTTTCATCAATCTCGTAAAAAGCTCGCCTCAGACAAAAACCTAGCTCTCAAAATCTTAGCTGTGGGTTTCATTTATGGGTGTATCTGAAGACGTGGGTTCCGCTTAGATATATTGGGAGGATGTAAGTGGACAGGCTAAGAAATGGGGCATTATATTATTAGAAAAAAATGTATGGACCACACGTTAAGTACAGTCTTGCAGGCCGCTCTCGTCGTTTATCCGGCACGTCGAAATCTCCATTTTGAGTCTATATTGAAAGAATGGGAGAATTTTACATCGAGACGACAGACCTATATCGAAATTTCGACACTGACTTGATAGCGTTGGTAGCGTTTGCATGCAAAAACTACACGCTTATCGGCCTTTACTTCTGGTCTTACCAGTATTTTGATACGCCTAACGTTTTCTACTATGGACAAAGAGGGTGGGCGCATACATGTAATGGGGTCGATGCATTTTAACCAGAAACTGCTGCGAGCATCTTCGCTTTTGGCCTCATTTCCTTTTGTCATTGTTTATATTTCGCCAGACGATAAACCCCAAAATATGAATTTGTGGAATTATTCTGCTTTAAATTTTTTAGTTTCCTGAAACGCGCATAGCGAAATGCTGCAGGGGATAAAAATTTTAATTGTTTTAGGCAAGAAAAGTTCACCTAAAGTTACAAACAAATGCATCCATTTCACGCATGAGTCTTTTAGGATACCGAGCTAATAGCTATTAATCAATAATATATTGACTGGTGGGTGGGAGGGAGGGGGTGAAATACGTCTTTGGGTTCCATATTTACCTATTTCGGTAAGTAGATCGCATGCCTGCAAGTCTTTATTTAGCGAGGATGATAGAATACGCTAACTTCGTCCAAAAAGCCGTTATACATTTCGACGAGATTTGTTATAAGTCAGTAACGAACGAAGGGCACAGGCGTATACTAAATTCTTCTGCTTTGGAAAAGGAACCTGTTGGAAGTCGAGTGGAGGATGGGGAGTCTTGATAAACACTACCGACTACGGATACGTTAGAGCGCAAAGTTAAGACCGTGTATTTTATATGACGTTCCACGACAGAACGTCACAGGCACGCAGACGACGAACCCAGTGAGGAATTATAGATTTTTGCCAAAAGCCAGGTTTAAAACTGGATGTGAACGGTGCAAACTGATATATAACGACAAGCGTGTGTATCTGGAAGACGGCTGCAGGGAGAGAAGGAGTAAGGACGTCGATGCGGCAGCAGAAGGCGAACACAGAGTATGAGTTTCACAAGCCACAACCTGTAATGTGGACCTTTAGACCCTCCACTTAGTTTACCTAAATGTAGCTCAGGAGCTTACTGGGCTGTGGGTATATGCTTTACAGCTTCAGCCAATTTTCAGCAGAGCGTGAGCGACTAACAGCGGACTCACTTGAAGAAGCCCATCAAAAAGTAAACCTCCTCGCTATACGCCAGGTTTGAGTTGTAAATAGGTTAGACAGAGCGCTAATTCACCTGCAAAACTAGAGGTCTAAAAAGTGGAGACATGAGCGGGAGATGTACAGCCGACCTTTGAAACCCCTGCTAGTTCCATTGACTGGCCCATCAGTAGCCGGTTCAAATTAAAAGAGCTAAAAGAAAGATAACTTCCTTGCTAACACCAGCTCCGCCTGCACACTTATATTTCCCCTGGGCTGAACGGTGTTTGGACGAAGGTAGACGGGCATGCCGATGGAGTTTTTAACACGAGAGCCCTCTCCAAACCCGTCCTGAAAAAAATGTGCAGGGTACGCCTCCCTTTTCTATATCGATATTTGCACTGTCTGTATTAACCACAATCTACTTTCCCATGGTAAAAATGTTGAAGCTTAAATGGCAATTAATTTAGATTTCTGCCAGCAGCTGATCTCGAGCCTTAACTTGTTTACTAATCCATCTAGATCGCATATATAGGCTGTGTCGGAGTTCGGACCGCCAACGACCTTTCCAAATGCATATTACGCTAGTACCAATGCAGCGTTGTGTTTGTGTGCCACTTGCCAGTCGATCGTACGCCGATCTTTCCCCATTTCTTTGTTGCTCTCCTATATCTCACTGTTTTAACGTTTTGTTATAGGATGAGCAAACATATGTCAGATCGCACACATCGACGTCATATTCGCAAACGTATCAAAGAAAACCTACGACAAAATAACAAAAATGTTAGCGTCGACATGTGGCAAATACTTCTTTAAATGTACATCTTTTCCGCAGACATTCTACTTGTCCTCATTCGGTAGGGAGAGGACGATAACTTTTGTTGCTCTTATATTAAGTGTTTTGTTTCATGAAGAAATAATACACTGCGAAACCTTTTATGGCAGGCAACCTGGGAAACGACCTCTATATGACAGCAAAGTGTATGAAGTGGATTAAGGTGAGACCTGTTTTCTATGTTCATGTTTAGCTAGTGGAGTGTCGAACAACGGTCTTCTCGGCAGCAGCTGTAAGAAGCCTTTAAAAGCAGTTTAAATAAGGCTTACGACCGACAACAAAAACGTAAACATAAGGATTTGGCTAGCCGTACATCAAACGGTGAGCTTTTATTAAAATGAATTGATCAGTAATACATGCATGCTAATTTTAACTATACTGAACTCATTAGTTTTATGTACTTGTGCCAATATATTGTGATCCTTCAGACCTAGGCCGTCTTCGATGACGACATTGTCATCGAAGTTAATTGTTGACACTGAGAAATAATGATGACCTTGATAGATACGAACTGTATAAGTTTATTACCTTGCGGGTTTGAAGGTGACAATAAATATA